CCAAGTGGTGGCACATCAGCGTGCCGGCAGGCGACTGGCGGGCGGGGGGCTGTCGAGTCGGTGCTCGGCGAGCACGTCGCTCAGGTCGGGGAGAGAGCCATCGACGTTGGCGGTGCTGTGAAGGGGCAGCGACAACAGCGAGGCTGCAAAGGACCTGGCGGCTGCGAATGCGAGTAGTCCGGACCATCGCTGCACCCACGCTGCAGCGCTGCTGGCCCGTAGGTGGGGAGGCGGACCGTGCTCGGCAGCGGGGCAAAAGACGGACGAACTGGACGGCCTCAGCGCTCCAGCGTCCCGCGACCTCGATGGCGAGCACTACGAGGCGGCACCTCGGGGCATGCATGAGCTCGGGGTAGGATTTCAAACCTCTCGAAAACCAGGTCTCGAAGCCCGATGGCCAGACAGGAGCCCGCAATAGGCCAGGTACGGTCGCTCCATGAAAGCAGCCACCTGTAGCCGGTGAGCTGCCCAGTCCCATGGATTCGGCATGGGCAAACCGTGGCCGGTCACACGGTCACACGCATGCTTCTGCCACTTCTGCAGCTCATCTGCGTAGGCCATTGTGGGCTGGCGCGTCTTGCAGATGATTTCCGCATGGGTCTGGACAGACTGAATACCCATCCTGGAGCTACGATGCCCGGACCTCATGCCGCCCGTGCATTCACCGTGTTCCCGACGTCCCCAGCAGTCTTCGTGCCATCGGCGCCCCTCCGCGTCTCCTCCGGCGCCTCCGGCTACCCGTTCGTTGCGGTCCGGCTTCCTTGCCTCCCGAGCTCTTCCGCTGGAGCATGCTGCTGCCCGCGTCTGCCGCGAGGCTGGGGCGCAAGTAGCGCAGCTCGCGATCGACGCCACGATCGTCAGCATATCGTCAGCTCGGTCACCCGAACCGGCTCTGCACGGGCTGGCGCAGACACCCGCCCCGCAGCCGCCGTGCAGGATGCGGCCAAACGCAAACGGCGCCAAACGGACCCCGAGCTCCAGGGCGCCAGATGTGCGCGGCTCATCGTCGTCGGGATCGAGGTTGGGGGGCGCGTCAGCACCGAAGCAGCCTCCTTCTTGCGCTTCTTGGCACAGAGTACCGCTACGCGCGGCTGCGCGAGCTGGCTGGGTGCAGAGGTGGTCCGGAATGCTCGCTGTTGCTGCAATGCGTGCTTACGCCGCCTGATGTTGCGAAGGCGGGGTCGTTTAGATTCCAGGTATGCCTGGGAAGATTTCAATCTTCAAGTTGGCTGAATCCTGTCCCTCATCGTGGGCTTCTGCAGTGGAAAACAAAGAAATTGAGCTACGACTTCCGCTGGTGCCTCCTGGTTGTGACGATGCATCTACACAGCATTTTTTTTTTTGAGCGCCTCTTTTCGAACAGTGACCGCACGGTCCCAGTGCATGTTTCAGCTGCGAGCTACGGGAGGGTTCAAGGCGCCGGCAGGCGGTTTGCGACGAGCGGGGGGCCGCCACGAACCTGGCAGCCCTAGGCCAAGCTGCGCAGTCATGCTCATGCTGTGATCCTCCCAGCCCTTCGAGCCAGTGAACAGCGCGTGTGGTTCGCTTGCCCGAAAAATATGCAGCACTGGAGATCCGTTTCGCCAGATGCATGGACGGTGGCTTCACCTTCCTCGTGGGGAATCACCATCAAAGATGCACAAGCATGGGCCCCGCTGAAATTACAAGGGTACTTCTCCAGAATGGATGGCCATCCTGGCCCCAGTGTACCTTGTGGCTTCTGCAATGACGAGGTCCTTGAAACCACCGAGCATATGTTTCTGTCATTCCCGCGGGTACAAGCACTGCTTGAAGCTGTGCTGCTCAGCGCATGTCACGAAAGAAGGTTGGCAGTCGGCAGTATACTAGAAGCACGCTGAAGAAGTGCTCCCTTGGGTTTATGCAGCTGGGAAGCTGTTGCGATCAAAGCACGAGCGCTTGTGCTGCAAAATGACGGGATCAGAATGCAAGCTCGGTTTCTTGGCATGTGCAATGCTGTGTTGTGTGGTGTTTTAACCAAAACCACCTGACATTCCAATCTCCTTCGTGCAACCTCTGTGGCGTCTACGGTAGGCTAGTTACGCCAATTGTGGTGCTTTTACTTTACACCGCCTGGTGAACCAATTTCCTCTGCACCTTTTGTGATTTTTCGCCCTTCTTCCTTGGTGTTTTGAGCAAAGCCACCTGCATCGGCCATATGAACCACAGATTCCTGATTTTGCGATTTTTGCCCATGGGGACATTACCCGTTGACTGCATCAGCCATGATGGTGCGCGGTTGAATGGGTCGAATGATGATGGGTTCTTGGCTGGATGTTGTCTTCTGACCTTTACATTTCTTGTAGTTGTCGCGTACTTAATGAAGTGGACCCGTCTC